GGGTGGGATGTGGGCCCGGCTGTGCCCCCCCGGGGGTCGGTGCTTTTCGGGGGGAGCTGGCACTGCCTAGGGTGTGGGGCTGGCCGGGGTCCCCGGGATGTGGGGCTGGGCCATGGGGCGAGCCCTTTCCTGGGTGTGGGGCTGGCTGGGCTCCTGCGGTATAGGGCTGTGCCCCCCTACCCCGGGCCGTGGGGCTGGCGATGCCCGGTCTCCCCGTCTGGCTCCACCGGGGCCGGTGGCGGCTGATGCCAGCGCTGGCGCCTCTGGTCCAGCCATGGGGCACCTGCGGGGAGCCACCGGGACAGGGCTGGATCCCTGCAGGGTGGGTGTCCGGCGCCAGGCTGGCGATGGGGCTGGGTGCCCCAGGGCCACCCTTCTCTGGCCGTGGGCAGGAACGTGGTGCCGTGGGCTGCAGAGTCTGGCCAACCTGGCCCGAGGCCGGGCAGGGGTTCGCCACCGCTGGCTCTTTGCCCGGTGCCAGCGGTGCCCAGGGGCAGCGCATGTTGCCTGGGCCTGTCCGCCCTGTTTGCTCGGCGGCATCCCCAGGGAGCGGGGCTGCTCGGGAACCGTGGCCAGAGCCAGCGCTCGCCTAATGGCTGTGGAGCTCTAAAAGCACTCCTTGGCGGTAAGTGCTCTCACTGTGCCAGGAGTGGCCCTGACCCCCGCCTGCCTTGGACGCCGCATCCCGCTTCCTTCGGCCAAGCCAGCCGGGTGGCTCCTGCCAGGCTGCCAAGAGCGGAGATGGGCTCTGCTGAGCTCCCACCGCGGGCAGGGGCTGGGGTCTGGCCATGCCGTTGCGAAACCCCTCCGTGAGCAGCACGTGGCCCAGGCATCGGCCGTGCGGCTCCACCGCTGCACCGAGTGGGCACAGTTCCATGTGGGCTCTGCACCGGGGGACCCGAGGGCATGGTGGGGTTCGGCTCTCCGAGCCGGGGCTGGAGCGAAGCTGTGGATCCAGACCCCGGTGTGCCACCCAGCCCTTCCGTGGGGAGCAGCGATGCATGCCATAGCTGGGGAGCGGGGCTGGGGACTCGCGTGGTGGGTGCTGGGGGCCCCCCCGGGGTCCTCGCACCCTGGCCCTGCTTGCCAGGGTGGCTGGGGCCTTTCAGGCCCCACCGATGTCCCTTATCCTTATCGCAGTCATCGTGGCTGGGAGGAGCCCTCAGCACTGCCCTCCAGGTACAGGGACCCTTGCCCCAGGGCTCCCTTCCCACCCTGGTGTGGGGCAGCTGTGGGGCACAGCTCTCCTTGCCCTGTTCCATGTCTCCCCCCCCCGCTCCCGCAACCCCCCCAGCCCTGCTTCCCGTCCCCTCCTGGCTCTCACGGCCGCTCAGCCTCCGGAGCTGGCTTAGCTCCGCTAATCCCCTAATCCTGCCTCCCGGCCGGGGGTGCAGGGGCCTGGGCCATATCCAGTGCAGGGGATGCAGCGTGGTCCTGGGTGGGGGGGTGGGGGCCGTGCTGTGCCCCTTATCCTGGCCGTGGGGGGCTGGGAGCCCTGAGGGGGGTGACACACCAGGTGGGGGGCTGGGGCAGGGCTCTGCCTGCCCAGGAATTTCCCGTCATCTATGAAACAAAGCCGAAACCTCCGCCACGCTCCTGTGCCGCTCCCATGCCGCTCCCGGCATCCCCTGCCTAATCTGCCATCCCCTGCCTGATCTGCCTCAGGAGGCTGGGGTGGGGGTGCAGGGTCCTGGGGCTGGGGGCGGCGGGGACGGGGGGGCTGGGGGACAGGTCGCCCCCAGCCACCCTCACCCCCTACCCTCTCGCAGCAAGCTCCGGAGGCTGTGCGGGGCTGGACGGGACTGAGGAGCCCGACGTCAGGGTGCAGGAGGATGGGGGTCCCGTATGGCTGCCGGGGGTGGGCAGGGTGCTTGCTGTCCCCCCCCGGGATGCTGCCGGCCGGTCAGACCCTGCCCCAATTCCTGTGCGGAGCAGGCGCTCCCCCCAGGTAACGCTGCCCAGCTGCCCCTCAACCCTGTCCCTCACCCCCCCCCCGCCACCAGCTGCACCCTCACCATGCCCCCCCCGGCCCGCAGGATCTCCCTGAGGCCCCCGGGGCTCGCGCCGCTCCCACGAGACGGAAGAGGGACTGGGTGATCCCCCCCATCAAGGTTCCCGAAAATGAGAGGGGTCCCTTCCCCAAAAAGCTGGTTCAGGTATGGGGTGGGGGGTCAGTCGGGTTGGGCACAGATGTGGGTGCCGGGGAGGGGTCCATCCCCCTTGTGTCTGGGCGAGGGGCTGGGGCTGGGCATGGCTGGGCACATCGAGGGTGGGAGCGATGCTGGCAGTGGCCATCCCCCCAGCATCGGGGCAGGGTGTGATGCTGCTGGGGGGGCGCGGGTACTGATCCGCCTCCCCATGTCTCCTCCCAGATCAAATCCAACCGGGACAGAGACACCAAGATCTTCTACAGCATCACGGGTCAGGGGGCGGACGCCCCCCCCGAGGGTATCTTCACCATCGAGAAGGAGTCGGGCTGGATGAAGGTGACGCAGCCGCTGGACCGGGAGCGCATCGACAAGTATCACGTAGGTCCCTGCCGGGGGTTTACCGTGGTGTGCCGGCATGCCGTACCAGCCCCCCGGCTCACCCCCTCCACCTCACAGCTCTTCTCCCACGCCGTGTCCGAGAACGGCAAACCGGTGGAGGAGCCAATGGAGATCATAGTCACGGTGACGGACCAGAACGACAACAAGCCCCAGTTCACGCAGGAGGTCTTCAGGGGCTCCGTGCCGGAGGGCGCTTTGCCGGGTAGGACCCCGTGCCGTGGGGAAGCTCTGCCTCCCACCGGCCACATCGCTTGGGGAGAGCCCTGGGACCATCCCTGTGGGACATGTGGGTACAAGTCCCCTCCACCCACCCCACTCACCGGGACGTCCCCATCCCCAGGTACCTCCGTGATGCAGGTGACCGCCACGGACGCAGACGACGCGGTGGAGACCTACAACGGCGTCATCGCCTACTCCATCCTCAGCCAGGAGCCGCGGGAGCCCCATCCCCACATGTTCACCGTCAACAGGGCCACCGGCACCCTCAGCGTCATCGCCAGCGGCCTCGACCGGGAGGTGGGCTCTGCGGCACCGCGGGGCGGGCAGCCCTGGTCCCAGGCGGGGGGGCTGATGGGGTCCGCATCTGTCTGTCTGTCCGCTGCAGCGCGTGCGGGAGTACACGCTGACCGTGCAGGCGGCCGACCTGGACGGCGAGGGTCTGACCACGACGGCGCTGGCGGTGATTGAGATCGCGGATGTCAATGACAACGCCCCTGAGTTCGACCCCAAAACGGTAACGTGGGGTCCCCCCCCAGCAGGACTCTCTCCCCCCAGGCCAGTGCCCGCTGGGCTGCGGCACTGACGGTGGCCCCGCACCCGCAGTATGAGGCGGCCGTGCCGGAGAACGAGGCCGGGCGGGAGGTGGCCCGGCTGGCCGTCACCGACCTGGATGAGCCGAGCACGCCGGCGTGGCGAGCCGTCTACTCCATCCTGCGCGGCAACGAGGGAGGTGCCTTCACCATCGCCACCGACCCTGCCAGCAACGAGGGCGTCCTCCGCACCGCCAAGGTGCGTGTCCCCCTCTGTGTCCCCCCCCTCACTGCCCGCAGTGGGGTGCTGCCCGTCCCCTCCCCTCTCCCAGGGTCTGGACTACGAGGCCAAGAAGCAGTTCGTGCTCCACGTGGCCGTGGCCAACGAGGCCCCCTTCGCCGTGAAGCTGCTGACGGCCACCGCCACGGTGACGGTCAATGTGGAGGATGTCAATGAGGCGCCCGTCTTCAACCCACCGGTGCAGCTCGCCCGGGTGCTGGAGGACGTGCCACCGGGGCAGACCCTTGCCTCCTGCACGGCCCAGGACCCCGACAAGGCCCAGGAACAGAGGATCAAGTGAGCGGGGCTGGAGTTTTGGGGTCAGGGTCTGGGGGGGTCCCTGCCGTGGCACTAGCTGCCCTCTGCCCCCCAGGTACCTGGTGGGGCATGACCCGGCAGGCTGGCTGGCCGTGCATCCTGAGAACGGCCTCGTGACGGCACGGGACCACCTGGACCGCGAGTCCCCCTTCGTCAAGAACAGCACCTACGCTGCCGTGCTGCTGGCCGTGGACGATGGTGAGGGCCATGAAAGGGGCCCTTGTTCCCACCGTCCCGCGTGAGGGACACGTGCTGCTGTCACCAGGAACCACATCCCGGCTCTGGCATGGAGCGGTGCTGGGGGCTGCCTGTCCCCACCCCGGCTCGGGGCATCCCTGTGCCCATGAGTGTCCTGGTTTTGGGGATCCCCCCTCCAGCATGGCTCCTCCCCGCAGGCTCGCCACCCGCCACGGGCACCGGCACCCTGCTCCTCACCCTGCTCGACGTCAATGACCACGGCCCTGAAGCTGAGCCCCGGGATATCACTGTCTGCAACCGCAGCCCCCAGCCCCAGGTCCTCACCATCACCGACAGGGACCTGCCCCCCAACACCGGCCCCTTCCGTGCCGAGCTCAGCCACGGCTCAGGGGACAGCTGGGCTGCGGAGGTCGGCGACGAAGGTAAGGCTTGGGACAATGCTCGGCGCGAGGCAGGCTCTGCTGCAGCCGGCGTTACCGGTGCATGCTGCCACGGGTCACCCACGGTACCGGTCTTGTGCAGATGACACCGTCACCCTGCGACTGGTGGCACCGCTGGAGCCGGACCTCTACAGCGTCTACCTGCGGCTCCTCGACCGGCCCGGCAAAGCCCAGCTCACCGTCATCACCGCGCGGGTCTGTGACTGTGAGGGGCCGGCGCAGAGCTGTCCCCAGAGATCCCAGCCTGCCACTGGCCTGCCCTTCGTCCTTGCTGCCCTGGGCGCTCTCCTGGCCTTGCTGCGTGAGTGGGGGGTCCTGGGGGTCCCAGTGCTGTGGGGCTGCACCCCACCCCCGTGGGGCAGAGGCTGGGGGGATGTCCCCACTGATGCCAATGCCCCCCACAGTCATCCTGCTGCTGCTGCTGCTCTTTGTGAGGAGGAGGAAGGTGACGAAGGAGCCACTGCTGCTGCCTGAGGATGACACACGGGACAACGTCTTTTACTATGGGGAGGAGGGCGGCGGGGAGGAGGACCAGGTGAGTCTGTCAGGGGTCCGGGGGACGGATGGACTGGTGCCAGCGCAGGCACCCTGACCTTGCCCCTCTCCATCATGTCCCCCCCTGCTCCCCAGGACTACGACCTGCGGCAGCTGCACCGGGGCCTGGACGCCCGCCCCGAGGTGCTGCTCCGCAACGACGTGGCTCCCACCCTCCTGCCGGCCCCCCAGTACCGGCCCCGTCCTGCCAACCCTGATGACATTGGCACCTTCATCGAGGAGGTGAGCCCCATTCCCCCCTACCCGTGCTGGCACCCTTGGGACACCCCCCAGCCCAGGGACAACGGGTGCTGACCCCTCTGCCCCCCCCCCCCCCCCCAGAACCTGAAAGCGGCCGACACGGACCCCACGGCCCCCCCCTACGACTCCCTGCTGGTGTTCGACTACGAGGGCAGCGGCTCGGAGGCCACCTCGCTCAGCTCCCTCAACTCCTCTGCCTCCGACTGCGACCAGGACTACGACTACCTCAACGACTGGGGCAGCCGCTTCAAGAAGCTGGCAGACCTCTACGGCGGTGGGGAGGAGGATGACTAGGACCCCCCCTCCCCACCCCATGCCTTACCGCTGCCCGTGCCTTGGGGCTGCCCCCTTCCGCCGTGCCCCCCCCACCTCGGCGGCAGCCCCTCACCTTCCCCTCTTGTATTTTTCTTGGTTTTTTTTTTTTTTGTTTGTTTTTTAATGTATGAAATAAAGGTAGTGTAACGCTATGGATGAGGTGAGCGGGTGCTGGTGTAAGTTTTAATAAAGGATGCGGTTTCTTTTTTTTTTAGATGCTCCAGCCTCTGTGTGGCTTTGTGCCCTGGGAGAGGTCCTGGGGGAGCTGCTGCCCACCCCGGGGGTTGGTGTTGACCCCAGCCCCGCTGTGGCCCCCTCAGACCCCCCCATCCTCCTTGCCCGCAGCAGTGCCCAGCTGCTCCCCACTCCAGCGCGGTACCTGCAGGCACGGCTGCAGCCTTGCCCCTGGACACCCCCCCCCCGGCCGAGGAGGGCGCCCGGCCGG